AGACTTGTCCCGACTGATTCAAATAAATTAAATCTAATTTATAACGATCTAGATTTAGATAAATCTATAATTGACGAAGATACGATTCGTCGAATTTCCAAAGCTCTTGGTATTTCTGTTTTGGAAGTTGAGATGAAAAGAGCAAGGCATCAAATTTTAGAAAGACTTCAAAAAGATAATAAATCATGATGGTGATAAAAAAGCTTGAGATAATAAACAATTAACTGTTAATTATAATTATTAAATAAATAGATGGATAGATAGATAATTAGTTAATTAATTAATATTAGACATGATATTATTACTCGTGATTGGTAATGTGTTGTAATTATTAATTTTATATATGTAAATTTAATATTTTCATTAATAAGTAAATTTTGCCTATGTCAATATTTCCCATAATAAACAACACTAGTATAGTGCAAGTCACTTACTTAATCCAGTGCAAAAGTGTTTAAGATATTAATCTGTGGCAAAATAATTAATGTGAGAGTGTATGTGTTCGCTTGTAATGGATGTATGGTTAGTAGAGCACAACAAACCTTTTTCATTTGATAATACCAAGAATGACAAACGACGGTTAAGATAACGTTTATTTTAACGTCAATAGGTAACGATGTATTTTGTTTACACATTTGCTTTGATTAATATATGTTAGATATTACATTGTAAATTAAAAAGTATATGGAGAAAAAAGAGAACTTGGTTTTTTATATGCAACTAATACTAAGGATTCTTTCGACTAGTTCAATCGATCAGTTATGGTAGCACTCGATAAATATTAGTTATCTCAAATCTGTATTTAATTCAGAACAATGTTGGCGATCTATTATCAATGACCAGGGCCCTACCTGGCATATTCATACAACGCACTGGTACTAATTTATTGTCAAAATAGCATATAGACTCGTAAAACCATGTGACCATGGAACCAATTCAAGATATATTAAAGAATCCGACTAAGAGACTTTTCAAAAAATTGGATGATAACTCACACCATGAAGAAATTGAAATTGAAGGGTTATGGTTCGATTAGTAGCATATAATGTTATTAGATAAACTTGACGAGTACAATTATTATCACACCAAAATATGGATTATACTCTAGAGGATAAAAAGTGCAATTCTGAAATCGACAGAATCATTGATGATAAAAAGAAAATGTTAATTAAGGAAATTTCTAGGGAGGAATGATTCATTTGATGAAAAACAATCTGTCAAAATTAGAGTTGCAGTTTATGAAAGTGACGAAGATGAGAGGAAGGAGAAAAAGAAAGTTAGCTGTGAATCAAGTTCTCTCATCAGTTCATCAACAAACAATGAAGTTGAAAATTATTGGGACACTGGAGGATGAGTTTTAGCGAAGAATTAAAATTTTTGTTGAATTCATAAATCAAATTTTCAACTTTCTTGAACTAATATTGAACATATTTCTCTCATGCCCCTTTTTTTTCATGTCTCCAAATAGAAGTATGAGAAATCGATATATTATGCTTTTCCTGGGCTAATAAAGAAAGATGACGGGTTGTTAAAGCAGAATTATGACGAATATGTTGACCCAAGGAACGTGAAAGAGTTTGTGTAACCTTCGATGGTCTACCACTACTTTGTTTACCTTCAATGGTACCCGTTTCTCTAAGCTTTTGGAGGTTACGTTTGATAGTACGCAAGGGAATGTTTGTTCTTTGATATATTTCTTTAGCCGAACGAATTTTCATTGAGCCAAAAATGCAAAATAGTTTTACATTGTGTTTCAAGCTTTGTATTAACCATGTTTTTATAGATTTTAAGTAGCAAAAGTGAAAATAACAATAAATTTTTATCTATTTACGTGTTTGTTAGAGTGTAAACAAACGAATACTCAATTCGTAAATTATGTAAACAAACAATTTATTATTTTCTAAATAAATCAAATTTGTATCGCAAACTGCCATTATTTTCATTGCACACTGTAAATAAAATCAAATATATAGTGGTATTATTTTTATTTTGTTCACCAGCATTATCACAAGTAATTTTTAAATGTTTTTCACTTTTATTTAATTTTTTAATTCCATCAAAGATCAAACTAAGTGTGCCATTTGGTCCTTTTCCTATAATTTCATTTTCATTAAGAACATAATTAATTTGTTCCCTTACTGCTTCATCTTGAATACCAAATAAATGAACTTTACATGGACTAAGGTAATAAATTTTACTTACTTGTTGATCTGAATGTGGCACATGAACATTTTGGGCTCAATCATAACTATAATGAGCAGTAGCATCAATACTGCAATATGGTGTTTCCCCTTTGAATAATGTTGATCAACTAATTTCCTTTGTTCTTCTGCTAGTTTTGTATTTTTATTATAATAATTTCTTTCTAGTTTGGCCTTGGATAGATGTTCTTTAAATCTTTTAAGTAAATCTTTAGCTTCTTCCTCTTGGCGAGCATTATAATGTAAACCATCTCTAAAATGCTGGCAAGTATCACACAAGTCAGTTCTTGGACTCATAATTTGAATTTCTGGTGTAAATTGATTTCATAACTTTCTGAATGCATCATATTTTAAAGGATTTCAATTTGTTATCTTCTTCCAGACCAGCTAGAAAATCTCTGCGCACAGATTTATAACTCATTTCAGCTGGTAAGAATACAATTGATTGAGTTATTCTATTGTTACTTCTTCCTGGACTTGATAATCCATGAACTTCTGCATAATTTTCCAGAAAATTCTTTATCACTTCAGCAACATTTTTATCAATTACCATTTTGGTTTTTCATTGAGGCATCTTCTTTATATTGCCATGAACTCTTCATATAAGTCTATTGTTCATCAGATGATTTCTAATATTTTCAAAATAAGTTCTGCCAATTCCTAACATATTGATTGATAAAGAGGTGTATTGTGATCTCAGTGATAGAAAGTTCTTTTATTAGGTCTAGCTTTATTTTGAGGTGTTTACTATTACTTATTGATCCACCATCCATTGATTTAAGTTGGGCCATTAAAAATATGTCTTGTTCAGACTTGGAAAGTGCTTGAAAGAATTCCCTTAATTCTGCAAAATTTTCCTTAGGAATTTTTGCAGAACAACCACAATTACAACCTTTTTCTAAAAAATCAATTGCCTTTTGATATTCATTAGAACCATTATACTTATCATTACTTTTCATATACACTATCCCTATATATATAATTTTATGTCCACTTTGTATGTTTTTTAAAATTTGGATGAGATAAAGAGAGATGCAGAGAGACCAATCAAAGAACAAAATATTTAAAAGGCAAAGAATTAATAAATATTTGCAATATTTTATTTTCATTAATAATAATTTAATGAAAATAGTTGCTATCTTTAAATAATTATGTATTTTTCTATATTTTAGTTAGATATTAAAAAAAAAAAAACTCATAGTTGTTGGAAAACTGTTCATACCAATCAAACAATTTTTTGAAGAGAAAAAAAAGTGACATGTAGCACATCTCAAAAAAGGAGATAATGATGGTGTTGGTGCATTGGAAATTTTATAATTATAAAGCCAGCCAAATTATTTGAATTGTAAATTGGTTCAGAAAAAATCACATTTTTATTATGAAAAACTTAAAAAATATATAAAAGAATGCATACTGTTATTAAAGTAATTTAAAATACTAAATTTGATAGCAATTTTACATTTCCTTTTTTTACAAATTTATCATCTACTATGTTATCTTCCTCCTCATTTTTATGTTTTGAAACTTCAACTTTTAAATCCATTCTGAGAACATATTGAACAACTTTTTTCAAAATCCAATCATTTGATTTATTCCACCCTTTAAACTCTCTTCGGTGGTTGTCACATATTTTTGATAAGAAAAGTCTTCAAATTTATCCTTTGGAACAACAAAATACAAATAAATCTTATGATATGTATGGAGATATTCATGTAACTCTTTAAAACCATTCACCTAATATGATATATACAAATTAGTCACAATAAAAAAGATCAAAGTTCTGTTGTCACTCTCTGTCTAACCTTAATTGGGTGGTTCTTTCCCACTGTTATCTGATATATATGATCAGGTTCATGTTCATGAGGCACCAGAGAATCCACCGATTCCTGTTTCTTTTTATGTGGTCTATTGTAAAATTCTGATTTTATCTCTCTTTTAAGTATTTTAGCTCAATCTGATTTTTCAATCTATCATCATCTTTCCCATCATTTTTCTGGTAATAATCTATCAATCGATTCACCAAATCTTCTTTTTTACCATTCTTTGACAATTTAAGACCATTTAATTCTGCCTTTACCCGTTTCTCTAAGCTTTTGGAGGTTACGTTTGATAGTACGCAAGGGAATGTTTGTTCTTTGATATATTTCTTTAGCCGAACGAATTTTCATTGAGCCAAAAATGCAAAATAGTTTTACATTGTGTTTCAAGCTTTGTATTAACCATGTTTTTATAGATTTTAAGTAGCAAAAGTGAAAATAACAATAAATTTTTATCTATTTACGTGTTTGTTAGAGTGTAAACAAACGAATACTCAATTCGTAAATTATGTAAACAAACAATTTATTATTTTCTAAATAAATCAAATTTGTATCGCAAACTGCCATTATTTTCATTGCACACTGTAAATAAAATCAAATATATAGTGGTATTATTTTTATTTTGTTCACCAGCATTATCACAAGTAATTTTTAAATGTTTTTCACTTTTATTTAATTTTTTAATTCCATCAAAGATCAAACTAAGTGTGCCATTTGGTCCTTTTCCTATAATTTCATTTTCATTAAGAACATAATTAATTTGTTCCCTTACTGCTTCATCTTGAATACCAAATAAATGAACTTTACATGGACTAAGGTAATAAATTTTACTTACTTGTTGATCTGAATGTGGCACATGAACATTTTGGACTCAATCATAACTATAATGAGCAGTGGCATCAATGCTGCAATATTGTGTTTTACCCTTTGAATAATATTGATTAACTAATTTTCTTTGTTCTTCTGCTAATTTAGTAGATAGATGTTTTTTAGGTTTCAATATCCATGTATCACTAGATGGGGATCTTTTATAAAAGTAGCAGAACAAATTCTTAAATATAAAAACCAATTAAAGGTAAGTTGATATTTTATTTCTTGAAAATGTTGCAACCTTTAACAAATTAATAAATATTATTTAATTTTAGATTATGGCAATAGCACATCCAGATGTTCTAATTACCAAAAAATAATGATAGAAAGGTTGTTAATACAATTGAAGACCAAACTTTTTGGGAAGCATTAGACATCTTTATCAATGTGCTGAAACCATATGAATTTATTATAAAGATATTGGAATCTGAACATGCTAACTTAGGTCATGTTATTGCATCTTGGGCATGGCTGAGAGGTGTAATTGAGAAAATTCCATCTAATCTTGATTCAATCAAAATTAATTTGGGACAAGAAATTGAAAAAAGATGGAAAAAAATTTATGATCCTATTTTTTTAGTCACATGGTATTTACATCCCTTTCATCATGGCAATGGGATTAATCCAGTACATACATTAAGAATTCAAGAGTTTGCCTACAATTTATTTTGTTCTTTATATTCTGATCTGGATGGCAATCAATTCATTGATGAATGGCATAACTATTTGTATAAAGAAAGTTATTTCAAATCTAATTCATTATGGCAACCATCAATAACAAAAGACCCAACTAAAGACTAGTGCCGTAAATTATGATGATGGTAGTAATTGTATTTACGGCATATAAAAAGTGGTTGCAATTACCTTTGCGACCATTTTTGCAACCATACTTTTTTTTTTTGGATTACAGCACTAGTCTTTAGACCCAACTAGATTTTGGAAAAGTGTTTTAGCTTTGTGTCCAAACCTATCAGCTTTTGCTTCTAGGCTGTTT